AATTTTAGCTCAGCTATTTTATATGCATGTTTTGCTGTAACCAATATATTTGCTCCAACGATTGTATCAATGGTTCGACCAGCTGTTGCAATGTTTCTTGGTGGAACAACTTATTTGTAAATAGATAATATAATAATAAATTTTATTAACTTTATTTAATTTTTTTTAGTCTTTATGTTCTTTCATTTATTTATCCAATGACATGGTCATATTATATTGTATCAGTTTTAGTTGGTATAGGTGCTGCTGTTCTTTGGACAGCACAAGGAGTTTATTTAGCAAATAATTCTAATGAAATAACAATAAGTCGTAATTCAGGTATTTTTTGGGCTTTATTTCAAGTTAGGTAATTCTTAAAAAATACAAAAAAAAAAAAAAGTTTCTTTTTAATTAAAGATTATTTTGTTTTTATATATAGTCTTTTATCTGGTAATATTTATATATTTATATCATTAAAAACTGAAATGATTGATCGTGCAACACGTATACCATTATTTGTGGTTTTTTCAATTGTATCAGCTATTGGTTTAGTTTTATTTATACTTATTATATGGCGTTCATATATTGAAAAAAATCGTGATACTTTAATACGTACAGTTGAAGAAAGACGAAATACTTTAGTAGATATTGTTGACACATTTAAAATAGCTGTTAAATTATTAAAAACACGTAATATGCTTTTATTACTTATTCCATTTGCATATTCGGGTAAATAAATAAAATGATTGTATTAAAATATCTATGTGTTAAGCAATCGGTTCTTTTTTTTTTCTTAGGATTTTCTAACACATTTTTTCAAGGAGTTTATGCAACATGTATTGGACATTATGTTAAATATGGAGGTGAAAATAAAAATGTTTGTATTAAGAATGAGTTCAATTGTATTTTTTTTTGTATAGATACTCGAAAACGATTAATCGGTTTGCATGGTATTCTTGTTGGTTGTGGTGAAATTTTAGGTAAGATTACATAGAAAAGTAAAGAATGCATAACAACTTATAGGAAACTAGGTTCATTTTATTTTGATCATATATTCGCGTATACAATAAAGAAAATATTTGATAGAAACTATACATTATATTTTTTGTATAACTTTTTCGTCCTATCTATTGAAACATTTATTAATTCGTGAGTCTATTAAAAAAAGCTGTTAGCGCAATCCCTTGCGGGATTAAAAATGTGAAACACAATGGATCTATTGTTACTAATTAAATGGAAATCATTTTGTTTCATTTCTTTGCGATACATTTGTAGCTAACCATTTATCTGATGCTTTAGAACCACAGTTTCTCTGATACAGTCTGTGATGGGTCCAAAACCTGTCTGTCACGGTCTGTGATGGGTCCAGAGCCCTATCTGTCACGATTTGTGGGGGAGGGGGGTCCAAATTTCTACCCCTAAACACTTCAACACTCCTTTCAGAGCGTGTTTCACAAAATATAATGTATAGATTCTATTATTGACTTTTTTATTTTGTACACGAAATAGATCATCAAAATAAATCGAGCTGATTTTCTTACAAACCATCATCTGTTCTTTTGAAATAAAAAAAATGATCTATATGTATATATATATATATTTCCTAGGTGGAGGTCTATTTGGATTTATTACAAAACCAAAAACATCATCACAAAGAGCTTTAATGATTCTTATTGGTTTTCTTTTACAGATAATTTATTATTATTCTGTATTTGTTAATTTTCCATCAGATGCATCATCTCGTGAAACAAATGCAAAACCATATTTTGATTTTAGGTAAACATTTATAATATAATAAATTTCATGAATAAAAAAAAAAAAATCTTTCGTTTTGTAGTTCTAAAACAAGTCAAATTATTGCATTTATAAGTTCATTTATTGTTGGTCTTGGTGATAGTAGTTTAAATACTCAAGTAAGTTTTTCTAATGAAAAACAAAAAAGGTAATATTCAATAATTTTATTTTGTCTTTTTTAGTTAATGAATGTATTAGCTATACGATATAAACAATGTTCGGCTTCAGCTTTTGCAATATTTAAACTTGTTCAAGTAAATATATACAATTAAACGTTTTCTTTTTTTAATCAATTTATTGTTTTCGGTCTTCATTTAAGTCTTTAATGGCTGCTGTTGGATTCTTTTATGCTGGTTCACTTCAAATAGAATGGCAATTATTAGTCGTTGTTATATTTTTATTTTTTGGTACATTGGCTTTCTTTTCAGTTTTATTTGATGATAAAGGAAGTGAATTAATAACAACGTCAGTAACTGTTACTCTACAAGATAGTGAACAAGATAGTTATCAAAATTATTCATCATCCATTGCATAAAAGAAAAAAAAAAGCATTCCGTTTTTTATTTTAATATTTACTTGATTGATACGATAACTTTTGTTTTGTCTTTTTTTTTTGTATAATTGTTTATGTGATTGAATAAAGAAAAGTGCTTCAAGTACAAATATGATTGATTGGGAAATAGAGTTCATTTATTCGATTAATTTTATAAGGAAACAATAAGAACGATATTTCGTGAAGTCGAATAGTTTTTTTTCTGTTCAAACCACTAAGAAAACCTTTAAAGTGTTCGTGTCTATAGTTCTTTTCTTCCGAGGTGTGCTCTTGAATATTTCATACTTTCATAATCTTGTCTAGCTGAAATATAAATGTATTAGTGATCAAGATCGAAGTTTTTAGAACTATAGAAAATGAGTATATGACAACTCATAATTTAATGATTTCTATAGAGTTGATTCAAAGCAATTAATGATTAGCTCTTTTCAGATGACTACGGTCTCTTTCTGTGTAAGCTTAGCTCCTTAACACGTCATTTTATACTACCAATCATAATCGAATCTCAAAATGCCCACATATCAGATAACTTTCTTTCCATAGACAAGAATTTGCAACAATTAACTGAAATAAAAAGTTTTTTTCTGCTCAAAATAGAAAACTATTTCTTACTATTATATTTTTATTATGAATCGGATCATTTTGAATGTAACATTCAAGAATAAAAAATTCAAAATTACGTATAACATATAATTAAAAATAATATCAAGAATCATAGTTGTAATAGGCAACTAAATTCCACTGAAGTATTATTATCAGTGGCTTGTGACTCAAGCTGACTTTTGTTGTTAATCTTTGTAGTTCATAATCGTTCTTACTTGCGGTTGAATGAGAAGCTCGAATAAGGAATAGTTTTAAGACAGATCTATTTCAGATTAAGTCTGCAATTTTTGAATCGAACTATTACAACTCTCGATCAATAAGATAAAATAACCTGTTCAGAAAAAGAGTTGTATAAAAAGAACTAAACGATCAAAACTAGTTCAGTTATTCTATATGAAATTATATTTTCAAAAGAAATTATAAAAACTCTATTTTTTTGGATATAAATCCGGAGAGTAGAATGTCATTTAGAACTTTTTTTTAAACCTTATTGAAATATGGAGTGAACATATCTAAAACAGTTACTATTTCTCGAAAATTTTCATTCTTTGCACATTCGGAATTACTCAAATTTGAATAGTAATTAATACAAACTTATTTGTATATATATATTTCTAAGATTTTATCAACATTGAATAAATAAAATTGAAAAATAATTATTATCTTCTTTTTATTTATTTTATTATGTTCTTTCGTTAAATATTTTGTTTTTTTTGAATTAACATTACAATGAAAAAAAAAAAAAAATCGAACAATTTTTTTTTTTTTCACAAATGTTAAATTGATTATCTATGCAGTTGTTGTTGTTGTTGTGGTATTTTTGCCTGAACGTTTACCACTTGTTTTAGTTGTTGTTGTAGCAGGTGTTGTTAAAGCTAATCGTTGACCACGAAGTAATGCTGATGCTCGACGAAGAGCAGCCTATAATATTAAAACAAAAAATACATTTTCATATTTTACTAATTATTAAAATTTAAACAAACCATTTTAAGATCTTTACGATAACGTTGTTTACGAATTGTTCGTCGAATACTTGTTAATGTACGACGTGAATCCTTAGTAAGTTTAACTTTACGAAAACGTTTAGCTGGTTTTTTCATATCTAAATACATACATATATTATTTATTTATTATAGTCAAAAATGAAAAATCAATTCTTACTTTTAACACTACCAGTTGTAAAAACAACACCTTTACCATCTTTAATAGCTTCAACACCGACTACTTTTGGATGAATTAAACCATTAGAACGAAAAGTATGACGATTTTTTAAATTATTTGGTTCCTTTAATAAATAAGCAAAACAAAAAAAAGACATACAAAATAAACATAATTAATTAACAAACAGTTGTAAATGTGCCCAATTTTCGTTTATGTAAAAATGATGAATTATTACGAATAACCATCCATTGAACATGTGATGAAGCTTGTTCGAAACCTAAGAAATATTTTTTGTTTTTGTTATACAAAAAAAAAATTCCTTAGAAAACTTACGTCCACGAGCCATTATTTGGGCAATGACGTATGATTTTACAAAAAAGAAAAACGATCTAATCTAAAAAAATAAAATAATTTTCTTAACTTTCTTCTCAACTAAAAGAAAATAAACAAATTTTTTTTTACTAATTTTTTTCTTTAATGATTGGTTATCATCATTAACCATCCTATGATGTATGTTTGCGTACTTCGGTCTATCTCTAATGCACTAGTGTGTCATATATATTATATCTTATTAAAAGGCGTCGCTAACAACAGTTTGACTCATCATTTAATCTTGTTTTCGTTTGAAGACACGTAAAAACATCTGACTGGTTTCAAAATGCTATGCGTTTAAAAAGAAAACATATTGACAATGTTAAAACTAGAATTCAATGGTGAGTTCTTTATAAGATTCTTTTGTTTTTTGTTTTTCATTTATTGCTTTGATACTTTTCATCATATTAATAAATATTATTCGATAGTTAGATTTATATTCACGATATTTCATGGCCATATTCATATTTATCTTCAGTTTACTTCTTTTTGTTTATACAATTGCTTATCATCCTGATAGTGCAATAAAAATCAATAATTTAAATATAACAAAAATTTCTAATGAAGAACGTTATCAACATTATTTATATTTTTCACGAACAGAACGTTTATTATATCGTGAAAAAGCTCGACAAATGTTTCAATTTGGATATGATAATTATATGAAATATGCATTTCCACAAGATGAACTTGATCCAATTCATTGTCGAGGACGTGGACCTGATATTGAAAGACCGTATGAAAAAAAACAAATATTTTTCTTTATTTGTATTTTTTTTCTGTTTATCATAGTGAAAATTATAATATAAATGATGTACTTGGAGAATTTTCTTTAACATTAATTGATAGTCTTGATACACTTGCTGTGATGGGAAATGTTTCTGAATTTCAACATGCTGTTAAACTTGTTATTGATCATGTTCATTTTGATCGAAATTCAACTATACAAGTATTTGAAGCAACAATTCGGTATGATAAATAAATATCTAATTTTTGTTTTTTTTTGTTATATAGACAAAATTATCTTCGATTTGATTTACGATTCTTAATAAGGATTATGATTCTTTTATTATGAACATATGTAAAAATATTGGCTCTTTCAGCTTACACCTAATTAAAATGTAGTTAGCAAAATAACTTTCTAATCTTAGTCAGAATTGATTTTAAATCGATAATTATATCCATAGTGAAGCTTGGAGAAGTGTCAAACTCCGACAAAAAAAATGCATGATCAAACAAAATCAGTTTTCCAGAGATCTGAAAATGAGTCCGAACGAGACTTTTCGGTTTTGGTATCATCTGAAAATTCTCATTCAATTAGAGAGATTGTTTTTTGTTTCTATTATTTGTGTACTCATAATGGAGTCACGCCAAAGTGATATCATGTTCAATCGATAAGAACGTCTTGATGAAGATAGTAAAAGTCTATAGAAGTTTCAGTTTCATAGGTTTTTTGTAGTTAAATTATGATCGTTTTATTGAATTTTTAAAGCAAAATTTTGTACAGAGATACATCGAATGACTTGCCGAATATCCTGAAAGTTTTAGCCGCAAAAAAATGCATGTTTTTTTTGCAGTGATCTTGAACTTTCAAGTAAACTCATTTTTTGTATCATACCGACAGCAAACGAGTAATTTTTGAAAATTCGAACATTCTTATCGAATGTTTTTATAAATCCTTCAACTTATATGTATAGTCTAAAGTTCATGTCGAAATTCTGGTTTTCTAATAAATACCTAAAACTTGATTGACCATTCAGTTTAACGATCATAACTTGGTTCAAGAACATTTTTTTATATTTTTCTAGTCTTATCGAGATCTCATGATGGGCAAAATTCCAGTTTAAACGGTGAATATCACTTCTGATGGATTCTTCTCAGTCACATGGCTAAAATCGAATAAATTCTATTATTTTAGGAAGTTTAAGCGTATTGAGAAAAAAACTTTGCGTTAAGATTTTGTACTTTGAAGCATTTTCTGTAAAACATTGCATTAAGATTTTCAAAAATACATTTCGAACTTTTGATCTTCTCCATGTGACATTGCTAACGCTAGTTTTATAATAATAACTCGGTGGAATAAAAGTCTAAATGCTTAGTTTTTTTCAGGATATCTTGAGTAGCTTAACATACATTACCCACGGAAAAATTTTTCAAGAAAAAACCGCGGTTTCATAAACTGCAAAAGTCAGACCGTTTATGCGGTTTTTGAAACCGGCGAAAATCGCGGTTTGCAAGTACCGCGATGAGAATCGAGAAAACCGCGGTCCGAGCTGAGTTTTTGCAGGTCTAACCGCGTTTTTTCTGTTCTCACCGCGATATTACAAATCGCGGTTTCAACCGGTTTTTAAAAGACGCATAAATGGTCTGACTTTCGCGGTTTTTCAAAATGCGGAACAAAACCGCGGTTAACCTCAGACTACCGCGGTTTTTTTCTGAAAAAATTTTCCGTGGGTATTATGCATAAAAATTAGCTAAAACAAAGGTCAGAGATATACGTATTTTTTTTGAAACTATCTTATTCACTAATACTTATTTATTTTTTTTTTGTTTTGTTTTAGTGTACTTGGTGCACTTCTTTCAGCACATTTATTAATTGTTGATCCATTACAACCATTTGGAAATTTAAGAATAGAAGATTATGATAATGAATTACTTGATCTTGCTCATGATTTAGCATCAAGATTATTACCTGCTTTTGAAAATACTCCACAAGGTTTACCATATCCTCGTGTAAATAAAATTTTTGTTTTTGAAAAATAATTTAGAAAATTTTTTTGTAAAATATTATATTTAGGTAAATTTAATGACTGGTTTAGTTGATGGATCAAGAAATGATACATCAACAGCAGGTGCTGGATCACTTTCATTAGAATTTAGTATTTTAAGTCGTCTTGTCGG